GGGATATATAGGGAGCATAAGTTCTATACTTGTGATTGCATAAGATGTATTTCCTCAGGAAACCATGCTAAATAGACGTATACACCCATGTTTGGCCTGGGTCTTACTGGACAGGTTATTACACTAGATGGAAGTAGACACTAATCCAGTCCAGCAGTTAGTATATTCCCATACATTTAAATACATCTCTATAGATATGTGAACATATGTGGAATAAGTCTATTGGAACAACACTGAAGTCACTCCCTTTCCTTTTTTTCTCACTTTTGCAGAGTATTTGGTGCTGCTATACTGCTGACATCCTCCCTCAACATGTTAATACCGTCTGCAGCCAGGGTGCACTATGGGTGTGTCATCTTTGTTAGGATCTTGCAGGGCCTTGTAGAGGTATGGAAAAATTATAAAATAACCAGTACATGTGATAGATGATTGTTAGCTTTTAATTAGTGGTTGTAACTTTTCAGGGGAAAATAAAAATTGCTTTCAGTTTATTACTGATTTTTCAGTGTAATGGATTTCAATGTATGAATTACAGTTATTTCTTTTTCCTTCATCTAAAAAATTACATGGCAAAGTTTTCCCTTGCTGAGAAGCCAGTGAGATATGTATTTAGTACTGAAGTTTCACTGAAATCCTGCCCTGTACAGGGTTTATACTGGCGCTATTCTCAACAGTTATTTGCTGTCCAGCTTCACAGATTAAATCTATGATAAAGAATTAAGCTTCTATCATAGGTCTTGACTATGCTCTTGTTGGTATGAATGAGAGATTTACTGTGATTTAAGAGAGAAAACTATTGAGCCTGCCTTCTAAATATATTATTTTGTTTATTTCTTTATTGTAAGACAGATTTTTAAGCGTGTGATCACCGGTTCTTTGTTCCTCAGGGCTACACACTTCTGTTGCATGAGCTGATTTTAACTCATGTGCTTTATTGTATAAAAAGACTCCAAAAGAGGGTGCAGAATGCGCCTGAAAGTTAGGTAACTGTCAATGAAGTTCTTAAAGTATACATGTATAAATATGGATCCATTCCTGAAAAGTGATCTGCATGTACAGAGGTGTGCTGGATGCAAAGAGGAGAGTGACAGAGGCAAGTGGGTAATTACCAAATAAAATAGCTCTTTTAGACCCACTCATTTCTGTGGTACTGTTCAAAGGAATTGTGAATGCAAAACATCTTAAACAGGACTGTTTGCACAAGGTTTACAATAAATCATGACAATCTTAAGATTATGTCTTTATATTTGTTTGAAAAATTAATGAAAGGATTAAATAAATACAAAATTGGTTACAAAACAGAAGAATGTGTTTTACAACTTTTTTTGTATATTGAGACTGATAATCTCAACATTTATGGTAATCTCAACATTTGCCAAAAGTTCTTAGTTTTTTCTACTTCTTGTATAGGAAACAAAACATCAAATTAAGAGAAAATTGACTCTATATAACTATACATGCATGTTAATAATTTTTAAGCACAAATTTTGTGAAAAATTAACGTATATGTCATATTAAATTTCCTAAAATTTCAACACTGCAAGATGCTATGGTTTCTGCATAGTTTTCCTTTCATTAAATTAAAGGCTGGTTCTGAAGAGATACCTAAAAATAAGTAGTTTAAAATAAAATCAACTAATATCAGCCAATTACTTGCTTTAAGTGCTCAAGAAGGTTCATTAAAGACAAAAGTACTGAAAAACTTCTCTCTTAACATCATATTTCTAAGCTCTTATTACTCTCATTTTCTAGTTTTAGAGCAGTGGAACAGTAATCTGCATTTCCTAAATTATATTTTAAATGTTAGATCAAAAACTGTTAGAAAGCCACTAAAACTGAGGGTTGGAGAATTGAGCCCAGCATTAGAAAGACTCCAGAGGGTCTGTGTTTCCACCCTTCCTTGGACTCCGTTATTTGTGCATTAATATTCTTTTTAATTCTTTGCAATTCTTTTCTGAAAGGGGGATGAGGAGCAAAAGGAAATAAGTATGTTTCATATCTGTTTGATATCTGTTCCATAAGGTCACTTAAATGATTTGGAGTGATGTACAAAACACATGTCAACTTTAATAAAAATTGCAGTTTTTCTGTGGCTGTGCTCACACTTGACTATAGAAATGCAATTTTGTTTGTAGCAATTAAAAAATAAATGATGCAAAGACAATGAAGTGAGTGATTGATCAGCATTAGCTAACTTGTGGCATACCCATTCCCCAGGGGGTCACCTACCCTGCCTGCCACGGTATTTGGAGCAAGTGGGCCCCTCCGTTAGAAAGAAGTAGGTTAGCAACCACTTCCTTTTGTGGTAAGTAACTCTCTATTTTTGTCTTTCTTTCATTTGCAACATAAAAGTATTTTGAGACTGAAGTTTTCTTCCTTTTCATCCACACATATCTTGTTTTGTAGGTTCCTATGCAGGAGCTGTTATTGCAATGCCTTTAGCTGGAATTCTAGTGCAATATACTGGGTGGTCTTCTGTGTTCTATGTGTATGGTATGCATTTTTGCTTGTCTCACTCCAATATTGTATGATTTAATCCTTCTAAAAATGGAAAAGCTACTGTTAAGAGGCCAAAAAAAAAAAGATAAATGGGTTCATAAAGCTAAAAATACAGTCAAGAGAAAAGGACAATGAAAGAACAGAATTTAAAGGAGTAGGAAAGCAACATTGTTAAATAAGAAAATCTAGTTCATGGTGAAACCTTCATCACTTCTAGTACAAGTAGTGCAAACTGCTATGCAGATCTATAGAACCTCAGATCATGTAATGTCACTCTTTCATTTATGCAACTGTAAGTTTAGAGTACCTGTCCTAAGATGTCCTGATTTTTATCTGAAGACCTACATAACTTCATTCACACTCATTGTGCTACCTGAGCTTAACACCAATGGAAAAAAATGTCCCAAAGGAGTTCATTCTGCAGTGTAAAACTCATGTGAATTACAGGGGAACCTTAAAGAAATTAAATAAACTACTCAGGAAGTGCATTGCTATGTTGAAAACAATGCCACAATCTTGTATTTTACAGGTAAAAAAATTAATGCAGTAATCAAACAACAGTGGCTTAAAGCACAGTGGAACTTCTTTTACAGTCTGGTGAAATGAAATGGAAGCTGTTTCATTGCATTGCATTGCACAAATTGATGTTAAAATATCAGTGAATATTCACTTACAGAGAAATCATTCTATAAATGAAACAAAGACTTCACTGTGGTCCAGCTCTGCATGTATTTTGCACAAATATTGTTTGCAGGATCCAATGTTAGAATGACTCAGTAGAAGAGCAGTAACAATTGCCATTGAGATTTGTTATAATTATTCACAGATTTTTTTCCTTGCTTACTGTTTTACTGTGCATCTTTTAAAAGTATTTCTTTCCATTCCAAAGGGAGCTTTGGTATAGTCTGGTACATGTTTTGGCTTTTGGTTTCATATGAGAGTCCTGCAAAGCATCCTACTATCACAGATGAAGAAAGGAGATACATAGAAGAAAGCATTGGAGAGAGTGCCAATCTCCTAGGTGCAATGGAAGTAAGAATATTACTCATATACTTGTTTCCTGTGACATAATAATAAAACAAACAAACAAAAACCCCAAATAGAAACAACAACAACAACTTTGATATCTGACATTTTTAGGTGTTCTTAGGGTAGTGTCTGGGTTGATACTTGATAGCACTCAGCAGTGTTCATGGTTTCTTATATCTCTAAGCACTTTCAAAAACCTTATGTGAAATGAGATATTTCAAAGGATGCCCATATAATTCTAATTTAGGTTGGATATTTTCTGCCTATTTTTTATTGTTGCTTTCTAATTAAACATTTTTTGGAAGTGATTGGTTTCGTCCCATAGTTACAAGCTATCTTTTCTGGCTGGCTTCTCATTAAGTCACACTTAATCCTTAGTTCTCCCTTAAGTGTAATTTACTCTAATTATTTACTCTAAGATTAACTCTATCCTAGCAAAACCAGGACAAATAGGTACATGAGGTATTGCAGACATCTATCCATGGGCTGGTTTTCTTTGAAGAAGAGCCAGTATTCAAATCTACAGTAGACCAAATTCAACCTGAAACCTTGCTGAAGTGATTTTCAAACACTCATCTGGGTCTGGATCCTGTATTTGGATCAACACAGATGGGCAGAATCCTGGGCTCAGGGAGAGGTGCTGGGACTCAGCGGGATTGTAGTTCTGTCCATCTGTCATATTTTTTTTTTTTCATTATACAATTCATTTTAAAAATACAAGAAAACAAACAAAAATATATTGACCAAGCAGTTTCAGCTAAAGCTTGATAAAAAATCATTCAGAATGCTGAGATTAAGATCTAAATGCTAAAATACATGGTTAAAATAAATCTAGAGGAAATTGTGTACTTAAAGTGTAAAATCAGACTGTTGCCTTAGATACAGTAACATTGTCTTTTAAAGACACATTATTATTATTTTGGACTTAGTATGTTCATGTTTCCATGATTGAAATAACGGCACTTGTATATGCGTGTTGTGATAGAGCCGAGTATCATTGAGTTTCTCCACCTCTGCATTTTGTAGTAATTTTTACTTGCTTATGCTTTTAAATCAAATCTTGATCATCCAAACACAGATGCATGTATTTTATGATAATTGGAGTTACTGGTATTCAGATACATAAAGCTGTGCATATATGAGCTTGTTGGAGTCCAGGTAAAATAATAGATAGGAAAAGGGAAGATAGATAATTGACAAAGATAAAAGTGTTGACTGGATCCCCTTTTTATTTTTCAGAAATATAAAACTCCATGGAGAAAATTTTTTACATCTATGCCAGTCTATGCAATAATTGTTGCAAACTTCTGTAGAAGCTGGACTTTTTACTTGCTGCTTATTAGTCAGCCTGCTTACTTTGAGGAAGTGTTTGGATTTGAGATAAGCAAGGTATGTAAAAATAGTATAAAACTTTTGTATTAGCTAAGTAAATATCAGAATTACATTTGTGGTACTTGTTAGGAAGAGGAAAGAGGTGTTCTGTGTCTTTATAATGGGTTTGCAAGTCTTAGACCTTATCCCTCCTAGTTACTGTTCCCTTAACCAGCACATGTAAGTGAAGTAACCACACTGACAAAGGAATGGATAGGGGAAGGTGAAGGCAGGATGAGATTTAGTGATGATCTGCTTGGGGCCACATTGCAAAAAGACTTCCAGTTAAATGCTTGAAACCAGCATGCATGTTATTAGAAAGGTATTGAGAGACCCATTACACTCTGTCCCTGGCACACCAGGGGATGCAGGATCCCACCGAAGCTGTAAAGAAATCATTGAGAAGTGGTTCCATTTTCCAGGTGCATTTTACAAAGCAGGACAACCTAGTTTTAGGAAGGATAGTACAATTTATCACCTTTCTAGATCCCCCTATAATGTGGTGAAAAATTTTTCACTTAGGAAGTGAAAAAGAGATAGTGCAAAATATGAGACCTAAATTTCCACATAATTCATATGAATTTTGGATCAGACCTGTGATGTAAATATGGATACATGCAAACGAGCCTTTAGAGCATATAGTAAACTTTGTAATAACATAGATTTCCTCCTTGTGAAAGTGAGGGGAGTTTGTGTTTTTGAGACCTGTATTCTTTCAATACTGTTCCATGATGTATTGTCACCCTAAACTGTGGTGTAAGTGATAATTAGATGAGAAGCTTCCAAAGTGTGGCCGTATTATGGAGTATTGTCAAAATTCCATAATGCCATCCTGCATTTAAAGATGGGCTTCTGTCTTTAGCTGGAGTTATTTTAAGAAGATTTGCTTTGCTTGAAACATCATCTGTTATGCCTGCAAAAAGAATGGTCACATCATTTTGTTCTAGAAAATTTTTCTTAGAGTGAATTCAAAGAAATGCAGAGCTTTGTAAACAACGACAGCAGAGTCAGTTTTCACCTGCTGTGTATATGGATGCTCATAAATGAATAGTTATCATTTAGGCAGGAACACCTCAAAGTAGTAACTGCAAAACCATAGTTACATCATAGTTAATATCTGACTTACTGGGAGAAACACCTATTAACATGAAGCTAGCTGTCACTGCATAGTTGCCATATATATAAACTGCAGTGAAATGCACAATTTCACAACTTTAATCGAAGAGTAAACTTGTTTTCTTTTTGTTCTCATGGAGTTTGTCTGCTCTGCACATCAAGCTAGCTGATACACTGTTCAGGTTGGAATTATGCAAAAAACCCTGGGTGCAAGCACTTGTTCAGATACACACAATAACCAGAATTCCCTGTGAGAACAAAATACCATGTGTACTAAACCAAACTATCTGCAAGGCAGTTATGGTGACAGGAGATAGCAGGTGGCAGTTCGTGCCATGCTCACAGATACCCTACCTTGCTTTGAAGGAACGGTCTTCAAACATATTGTATTTTGGAACAGCCATCACATAATTACAGTGTCTTACTTTGCTAGTGTGTGGAGCATTTTGAATATTGTCAATGAATATTTAGTATACTATCTCTTTACTATGTACAGAGTTTCTCAGGTACAGCCATCACATAATTACAGTGTCTTACTTTACTAGTATGTGTAGCATTTGAATATTGTCAATGAATATTTAGTATGCTATCTCTTTCACTATGTACAGAGTTTCTCAGGCGTATCTTTTGCCCACGTGAAATTTGAAGCTTGAGGGATGGTCAGAAATCAAAAGCAAATGGCCATTGTGCGTGTAAGGATGATCCACAGGGAATCTGTTTAGACATGTTAGGTTTGCTGGGCAATGCTACACCAAGCACATCACCAATAGAAATGTAGTGACTCAGTTCAACACATTTGATCATAAATTTTCTTAAAAATAGGGCAGAAGGGCTATAAGTCGGGAAAAAGCCATTAGCTTAAATATAAACTGTGAAAACGATAAACAAAAAGTGTCATGGCATCAGAGATTCTTAAAAACTCTGACTGTCCTTCATAAAATCAATGACAACTTCAGATCACCTGTTTTGTTCAGTTAATAAACCAAGGTAAGATTTTTAGTTTTAGAACAGCCTGGAACTGAAGAGAAACAATTAATTAGTTGCTGAATGCTTTGGAAAATGAAGAATTATTTTTTTCTTATGGTTTAATACTCTGCTGCTTCTAATGATTATTTTAGGTGGGTATCTTATCTGCTGTGCCGCATTTAGTGATGACAATTATTGTTCCTATTGGGGGACAAATTGCAGACTTTTTAAGAAGCAAGCAGATTCTTTCAACCACTACTGTGAGAAAGATCATGAACTGTGGAGGTAAGTCTTCCTATTTTATTGAAAAGCTTCTTGTACAGATTCAATGTCCACATAGTATGCTGTATACAGTAAACAGAGAGATTGCATGGTTTTATGTATTTATGAAGCAATATTTTGTGCATTTTGTGTGAACTACAGGTGTGGTTACTAAATAAAAGTAAACACAGTTGTTCCTATTCCCAGTTTCAATACAGATGTTTGGTATTTGAAAGAGAATTCAGACTGTTAGACAGACAGATGAGCTTTTGGGGGATAATAAGAGAGCACAGGCAACTACCTGAGAGTACATATCTGATTTCTGAGAGGTTAAAGTCACATGAGCTGAATCCTGGCTGTGATATGGGCTGCAAAATTCATAAGCAGGTTAAGTGTCTATTCCCATCAGGGTTGGTTGGAATGACCTAACCAAATGACAGGTATTTCTTTACATCTTAAAACTGAGAGGAAGTAACCATAAATAAGTGTACAAAGAATAAAATCAGGATTATTTGAGGTAGCAAGAACACGTGTTTTTTAAGGATGAAAGAAATACTTGATTATATTCCACTCTGAGGTAAAGTTTTGCCTCTGTCTTCCTATGAAATCTTACCATATCCTGAGGCCTGCAATATTTGAGAGGAAATTAAATCTGATGCCTGATTTTCTTTATGATTTCCCCAGGTTTTGGTATGGAAGCAACTCTTCTTCTCGTGGTGGGATATTCTCACAGTAAAGGAGTGGCTATTTCATTCTTAGTGCTTGCTGTGGGCTTTAGTGGGTTCGCCATATCTGGTAAGATTATATTACTGTTATTAGTAAATTATTTTATCTTAAGAGATAGAACATCTCATTTGGTTTTGATTAATTGATAGTAATTTTAAAAAACCTCAGAATTCCAAATGATATTATTTATGATCATTACAAAAGAAAGTACAATCAGTACCTCATCTTTTATATTAGATCTTCTTTGCTGAAATACTTCAATATTTTCCATATTTATTGCAGCAAATTAGGCTTCCTTTGCAAGAAAGTGCTAATGAACACTACAGATTTATCTTGAAATCAAACTTATAACACAAATGTACTCTTATTATTCAATGATACTTAAATTTACATGTCTTTAAATATAAGCCTTTCACTATTTTTTCCCACTGTATATTAGTTAAATGCTTTGTTAGTGCTGCACATTTTTATTACTTTGGGGTCTAATTATCAGCCTTTTTTTC